AAGAGTCTCCTGGTCCCTGACACGGCACAAGGTGATGCGGGGGGGACTGGCGTCGTTCCATCCAGGATTGGGGAGAAAGCAGCAACTTCGGTTTTCCGGTCAGCAATCTTTGAGAACGGGCAACTCGCCCCCTTGAAGCGGTTGAGGGAGGCATGGGACAAGCCTGCTGCAATCATGACGAAGCAAGAGAAGTGGGCTGGTCGCTGGAGTGGCAAGATTGATTGGCAGCGGGTCATTCGTACACGTAACTCGTTTGCTATCCCAAGCCGGCCACGTGATGTTCTCACGCGTGTACACAACCTGAACCTGCAGGTCGAGGAGAGGATTGACTTCCTCAGCTGCAAACCTAAGTGCCCGTACTGTGGGGAGGAGGAGACGCATGAGCACTGCTTGTTCACCTGCCCGAGAATTCAGCCAGTGGTCTCTGGGCTCCGCCGTGCCCTCCGCATACTTAACCCTTCGCGGGCACCGGCTTCTTTGGGTGACCTCCTGTTCATGGAGACTGGAACAGTGTCGGATTTTCCAGAAGGCACGCTCACAGCCATCACTCTCCACCAGCTGTGGGTGGAACGCTGTGATGCCACATTTCGCGGGCAGAAATTCAGGGCGAGACGGGTGCTCAGAAGGATTGGGTCAGCTTTTCGGCTGCATATGAGAGTATACACGAGTTCAACAAGAGCGAAATGCTTGAAGCCGGGCATGTCTGGGAATCACAAAAAGGTCAAGGGGGTTTTCGAAGCAGAGCAAAAAATGCTGATGAGGATCCGTGAAGCTAGCGACAAAAAGTGGAGGTGGTTGGCTAGCTTTAATGCGATTTGGAACAAGCCAAGGAGGGCCTTCACACCGCCCTAGTTTGTCTCTCTGGGTAGTGCATGGCGCCTGCCCTCATGCTCAGTTACGACTGCTATTGTTTGTGTACATTGTCTCTTTTAATGTATACAGCAATTCCAAAAAAAACAAAATGATTTAATTCATGAGTCTCTTTATATAAAAGTACACTGTAAATTGAACCAGGACAAGAGTTGAACGGAGCTGACCGAGGAACTCCACAACGGAGCAAGTTTCTCCAAAACCCTTTCTCGCCTGCCACTCCCTCGTGCCAAAATGGCTAATAAATCGGTCCTTCGCTTCCCGCAAGACGCGGCGCCTCTCGCGGCGATCGGAGCGGCAGCCATCGCAAAGATCGAGATCGACGCTGCCGTCGACTCGAGCTTGTCTGGAGGCAGCCCGCCCGTGCTGTACCTCCCCACGGGGTACGCTCTCCCGCTTCTTAGACTCTCTCTGGAGCAGTTCGCTCCACCTCCCTCCCTATTCGACCCGGATACCGACTTAGATTTCCTTTCGATCTCCTTCGTAGCATAGTCAGTCGCAGTCCGCCGCGCCATCGTGTCGATCGTGATCGTCCCCCGCACTCCTCGCCTCGCTCTCCTCGCCTCGCTCTCCTCGCCCCGCACTCCTCGCCTCGCTCTCCGCGCCTCGCCCTCCTTGGCCGCCGTACCGCCTCCAGCATCTGCACGCCTCCTCGTCTCCCTCATTCTTCACTTGGTCGAAGCTGCACAGAACGGCAGAAGCCTCTTTCTGTCTACAAGACCATTTTGACATCCCTTTCGCCCTATTCTCTCATGATCCGTGCTTCTCCCATCTCCTTAAAACCCCGTGCATCCCGCTACATCGGCACCCTAAAATCTCTTCTCTCGACTCAGTTGCCGGCCAGTCGATGTCTTCCATCGTCGCCGTCATTGTCATCCCTTTGTACCGAGCTGACTTCTGAGTCGACTCAAACGTTACCCCTTGCTCTCTCCCCATCCGTCCGTTTTCCTCCCGTTTTTCCCCTACATTCCTCCCTCCCCGCGTCGCCGCACCTCGCAACCAATCAGCGACGAGCTACGGGGGCCCGGCACCATCCTCCGCTATTTCGGCCGTGTCGCGCAGCGGGAGGGCTTCTACGGCGGCTCAGATCCCATCGCCACGTGTCAGGTGGGTCAGCAGGAGCCCTGTGTCTTCCTTGGTTTCCCAGTGGACTCTGCCGACTGGTCCTTTTACCACCCGCCCCTCCACCAGTTCCTAGACTCCCGTGACGTTCGGTTTGACGAGTCTGTGTCCTACTACACCCGGTACCCCTGTCGAGGTCTCCCGGTACCCCCTCCCCCTCTTTTCCTCGCACCCTCTCCTCCTCCTGCTCCCGCTCCTCCGGTACCCCCGCCCCCCCCTGGTCCTGCCCCGTCTGGTGTGTTCCACGCTACCCCTCTACCCTCGGTCGCGCGTCAGGTCGCGTCTCCCTCCCCGCAGTCCTCCTCACAGTCCCCTCAGCAGCCTTCGGCACTTCCGCGACAGGTTACTGTGGACTCGGTTGGTGTTGGAGCTGGAGCTGCAGCCGCTGGCGGTCCTCGGTCTGGGGGTGCTCGTTCGGGGGGTGCTGGAGCTGGAGGTGCTGGCGCAGGTGGCGCTAGCTCTGGGGGTGCTGGAGCTGGAGGTGCTGGCGCAGGTGGCGCTAGCTCTGGGGGTGATGGAGCTGGAGGTGCTGGCACTGGAGGTGCTAGTTCTGGGGGTGCTGGAGTTGGAGGTCCTGGCGCAGGAGGTGCTAGTTCTGGGGGTGCTGGAACTGGAGGTGCTGGTTCTGGGGGTGCTGGTGCTGGAGGCGCTGGCACTGGAGGTGCTGGTTCTGAGGAGACTAGAGCTGGAGACACTGGTTCTGCGGTGTCCACTCCGCCTCCCCACCGCCACGACACGCGTCTTCAGGCGGCCCGTCGGCGTGAGCGTGAGGAGCAGGTGCTGTTGGAGAGGGATCGGCAGGAGTTGCGGCAGTTGGACCTGTTGGAGCAGCAGCAGCAGCAGCAGCAGCAGCAGCAGCGGCGGCGGCGGCAGCAGCAGCAGCCGCCGCCGCAGCAGCAGACACCACCGCCGCCGCCGCGACCACCGCAGCTCCCTCTGGAAAGGCAGTTGTTCCCACCCGTGAGTGGCCTTCGGACCCTTGGTCTTCCCTCCTCTCCTCCTGTTCACACTCCGTCCCCTCCAGCGTTTGGTCCCACGTTTCCTCCTCCTGACGACAGTCCGGCGGTCTGGTCTTCTCCTCCACCGCAGTCTCCTCCACCAGTTGTCCCACACTCTCGTGTCCGTCCCTGTCCTCCGCGTGCTCGTCACTCGTCTCCCGTTACCGACCTCCGCACTGCCCTCCTTTGTTCGTCTCTTCGTCGTCCTCCTCCTGAGTCCGTTCTCCCGTCTCCTCCTCCGTCCTCTCTCCCTTTCCCCCCTACTCCTGTCACTGACTACTACCGCGCTGTTCGTCCTTTTGTCTCTCGTGTCCTCGCCACTCTTGTCACCAACTCTCGTTTCCCTCCGTCGTCTGTCTCGACTCTCACTGCCGCTGTCGCTGAGTTTGCTGCCGCCAGTCGCCTTGACTACACCACCCGTGTGGTGCCAGCTCCTCCCTCCCGTCCTCTGTCCGTCGGGGGTGAGTTTGCCCTTGGCTGTGACGTCCTAGAGGACAGAGAGTCTGAGCTGGAGTACTGGGCAGCTGCTTCTCCCTCTGTCTGTGCCATGCTGCTATCCCCTGAGGGAGACCCCGACGCCCTTGACATACCGACTCCTCGTACTTACCGCGAGGCAGTGTCAGGGGCGTGGGCCTCACAGTGGAAAGCGGCTATGGCCTCGGAGTTAGCGTCTTGGAGATCCACAGGCACCTACGTCGACGCAGTTCCCCCTCCCAGGGCGAACGTAGTCGATGGCATGTGGCTCTTCAAGGTGAAGCGGCCGCCTGGTTCACCGCCTGTGTTCAAGGCGCGCTACGTGGCTAGGGGTTTCAGTCAGCGTGAGGGAGTTGACTTCTTCCAGACCTTCGCCCCGACCTCGAAGATGACTACTCTTCGGGTGTTACTGCACGTAGCAGCACAGCGAGACTACGAGCTGCACTCCCTTGACTTCTATACTGCGTTTCTCCAGGGCCGGCTACACGAGGAGATCTGGCTGCGCCGCCCTCCTGGCTTCACTGACACCTTCCCACCTGGGACCCAGTGGAGCCTGAGACGGCCAGTCTACGGTCTCCGCCAGTCGCCCCGTGAGTGGCACGACACTCTTCGCTCCACGCTTCGTGACCTTGTGTTTTGTCCTTCCTCTGCCGACCCGTCGCTGTTTGTTCGCACTGGTTCCACTCCTTTCTTTATACTAGTGTACTTCCACGACTTGGTCTTTGCCACAGCAGACAGGGCAGCTCTGGCTCAGGTGAAGTCCGAACTGCAGAAGAGACATAAGTGCACTGACCTAGGTGAACTGCAGTGCTACCTTAGCCTGCAGATCACCAGGGACAGAGCCGCTCGCACCATCACTCTGACTCTCATATCTCACATCATCATTATTATCGGGCAAAATGTTATGCCCAACTGTGTTACAATTCGTTAAAATGTCTCCACTCGGCTGTTCATAAATTTGAAATTTCAACACGATTCCGCGATAGGAAGGCCCAGCCATCCCACGATTCCGATGTTTGCTTCTGATTGGTGGCACGGAGGCGTCAGCCCGACGACCCCAAGGCTCCATCATCCACAGGTTCCAAGGTTTCAAGGTTAGCCAATCTGACGGCGGACATACAAGGGTCAGTGATCCAACGCATGGAGCTAATGAACCACCACACACCAAACCAAGGCTTGCTCTCGATTGTTTCCTCATTTTCTTTCTCCCGCCATTCTGAAACTTGCAATCGGTGGAAGGGAGGGCAGTCTCTGCAAGCATATCCAACAACTGAGCCATACCATATTGCTGCCTTCTCTTGTCCCTCGTTCACAATCGCTTATCTTGCTGATCTACCATTGCCGATCTTATCGCTGTGTGATTTCGCGCGGCCACGTCCGTTGTTTGGCGGTGGAAGGAGAAACGGAGCAATGGACGTGGAGGAGGTGATAGAAGTCGAGGAAGTTGTGACAAAAGTGAAGGGCAAGCAATCAAAGGCGACGAATGCCCGCTCAGTGACTGCAACGAACGGAACTCGAACGCGGCAGGCGAAGGCGATGAATCGATGCAGTGTGACTAAATCGAAGGGAGAAAGCAAGAATGTGAAAGAAGAGATTGTGACTGAACTGAAGGGCCGCGGCAGCAGGCGCGCCAAGGCTGAGGACGATGCCGTCGAAGAGAAAGGCGTCGTAAAACGCGCGAAGGAAAATGGTGTGGTGGAAGGAAAGGGTGGCGGCAAACACTCAAAAGAGAGCACCGCTGTCGAAGAAAACGGCGTCGTGAAACGCGTAACGGAAAAAGGCGTGGTGGGAGAAAAGGGCGGGGGCAAACGTTCAAAGGAGGCCACCGCGGTGGAAGAGAAGACAGGGACAAAGTGCGCCAAGGTGAACAACGGCCGCAGCGTCAGCCGCGTGGAGGCTCCACGTCAGCCCAAGGCAGCGAATGGGGGGAAGGGAAAGCCTCCACGTCAGCTTAAGGAAGAGAAAGAGGCGAATGGGAAGCCTTCAGGTCAGCTCAAGGGAGCGGAAAAGGAGGCGAAGAAGGCGCCTGGGAAGGCGAGGAAGCGAGGCAAGGCGCCAAAGATCGACGACGACATGATTCAAGTGAAGCAGGCTCCGCTCGCCGACTCAGGTGCGATGCAGGCTCTGCTCGTGAATTCAAGTGCGACGTAGACTTCGCTGATCGACAGACGCGTTACTCGCTTCGCGTCTAGCTAGTCGATTGTATCCGGTAAACACCCGCATTTCCTCTTATAGTAGCTTGCGCACGAACCAAGCTGAAATTGCTCTGATAGGTGTATTTGAGCATGGGCCACCGCCATCACCTGCATCGCCACTCTATTCTCCCTCCCTTCTGCGAACTTGCTTCCGCGCAGAGGAAGCTGCGATCGTGCTCACGCACCCGTCGGATCCAGCAGCCGCGGCGGCGGCGGCGGAGAAGAAGGCGCCGGTGCGGCAGCTGCTGGACTTCGTGTTTCACGACGCGGACGGCGCGCTCATGCCTCTCGACAGCTTCGACGCGCTGGCGGCGCGCGGGGAAGGACTCTTCGCGACGGCTGTCATTCTTCCCGAGACCGCCGCGCTGCGCCATATGGAGGTGAGACGAGCGTCCGCCGCCCTGTGTTGTCGAGGTGGTTAGACTTGAGGCGTACGTTTTGTTCTGTTTCTCCTCGATGACCCCTCCTGTGCTATACGGATGATGATAAGTGTATTCCAGGGAGCTTTACCTTAAAATAGAGTCACGCATGAGACACATACTGACCTGGCGCTGCTGCTCTGTTGCCCCGTTCCCCCTGTTACTCGGTAACCAGGGTTACAGGTGCGAGGCGTTCGGGCCCATCGACGGGTGGTACATCGACGGTTACGAGAAGGCGAACACGGCGGCGCGCATCATGATCACCACGGACGCCCTTTTCAAGGCGGACGGGGGCGAACCCACCCACTCTCTACCATAGCTGGTGGCGCGCGTGTCTCAAGCACTTCGCACGTTCCTTACACCTTCCCCACACCTCTTCTCTGAACAGGACAAGTGCCTGGAGGTATTCAGGGCCCTTTCCAAGCCGGACGGGGGCGAGCCCACCCTTTCCCTGCCAAAGGTGGTGGCGCGTGCTTCAAGCTCTTACCCCGTTCCTCCCCATTCCCGTTTCCCTCCCCCTTCCAAACAGGACAAGGCCAACCTGTGCGTGGAGGACTTCAGGGCCCTTTCCAAGCCGGACGGGGGCGACCCTACCATTTCCCTGCCAGAGGTGGTGGCCCGCGTGTCAAGGGCGCTGGGGCGGCCGTGCAGGGACGACCTGGTGGCGGCGCATGCATTTGTGGTGCAGCAGCTGTGCGGGCTGGACGAGGACGCGGATGAGGACGACCAACTGTTCTCCGGGCTGCCTGCGCTAGAGTGAGTTTGTGTGTCTGCATGTGTGTGCCCTGTTTGCTGTGGGGATGTTGATTTGCTGGGTCAACTTAGTGGGCAGCAGCTGTGCGGGCTGGACGAGGACGCGGGTGAGGATGATCAACTGTTCTCTGGGCTGCCTGCGCTAGAGTGAGTTTGTCCTGCTTCCTGTGGTGATGTGGTTTGCCGGGTCAACAGTGAGGAAGGCAGGCAGTAGTGAGGAGTATAATTGCATTCACGCCTCCCACACCCTTAGTTTTCCTCTGCCATCGCCCTCAGAAGCTCTCTTGAATTGGGCGGAGCCAAGCAGGCAGCAGCAGTGAGCAACATCGTTATGGCCAGTAGGCAGCTCATCTCCTTCCCCTTGTCTTGTTTTCTCCCTTTCCTTTTCTTCTCCCAACCCCCAAAAGGTCGCTGAAAGAGGAGGGAGCGAAGCACGCAGCCGTCAGGAGCATCGTGGAAGCCAGGCAAGCCAGCGCCAAGGAACACACGGGCAAGAAACCAGCAGCTACAAACGGGGCCCTCGTTATAAGAGACACCGCTGGCGGCAGCAGCAGCAGCAAGGCCGGCGTGGGAGCAAGTGCAGGTATTGACGACGAGGAGTTGGCTAGGCTGGTGGCGGAAGAGGAAGAGAAAGAAGCAGAGGCGAAGAGAGGGGGTGGGCGGAGGAAGGGGGCTGGGGGCGGCGGTGGGCAGGAGAGGTATTTGAAGATCAATGAGAAGGAGCTGGCAGATGACTACCCACCTCCGAGATACTACAAGGTAGGCCGGACGAATGAGTGGGGAAGGTATTAGTATTACCAGCCCCCACGATACTACAAGGTACGCTGGTCGATGCGTGTTGAAGACCAGTTAGGAACAGGACTGGGGGCGGTGGCAGGTACGAGAGGTATTTGAAGATCAAAGAGAAGGAGCTGGCAGATGTCTCCGCCCCCACGATATTACAAGGTAGGCTGGACGAGAGATGAAAGAGGGGGAGTCGCGACTGGTGGAAGGGGACTGGAGATGGGGGGTAAGGCAGGTATTTGAAGATCAACGAAAAGGAGCTGACAGATGACTCCCACGATACTACAAGGTACGCTGGTCGATGCGTGTTGAAGACCAGTTAGGAACAGGACTGGGGGCAGTGGCGGGCAGGAGAGGTATTTGAAGATCAACGAGAAGGAGCTGGCAGATGAACGAGGTTGACCCCGTTAGAACGAGGAACGTCTATGGTGCAGACTTGCGGTATAGAATCCAGGCTTTATTTTCAGTGCATCCTCCTGTCTGCTCGATGCGTCATCCCCCTTCCCTTCCCCACTCCCCTTCCCTCCCGGTTTCTTAAACAAATTCTCCCGGTTTGTTTATGACGCTGCTGCCCCCTGCTCTATCTAACCCCTCCTCACCGCTATGCGCCCCTTTTCTCCCGCTTTATCCCCCCTTTCTTCAACTCCCTGCCCCGTTTTCCCCTCATCTGCCCTCATGCCACACACCCCAGAGCGTGGATGAAGGAACAGATGAGTTCCTCCTATTTGATGACTCCACCGCCCCGCTTTACCCCGACGACCTGCCTCGCCGCCGCCTGGACGACTGGGCTCTCTATGATGATCAGCTGCGCTTCGTGCCGCTCGAGCTGCTGCCCATGCTGCCCCCTGCTCTGTCTACCCCCTCCTCACCGCTGTGCCCTCCTTTTCTCCCGCCTGATCCCCCCTTTCCCCCACTCCCGCCCCCCTTCCCCCCTTCCTCTGCCTTCATACCACCCACTCCAGAGTGTGGACGAGGAAACGGACGAGTTCCTTCTTTTCGACGACACCACTGCTCCTCTTTACCCCGACGACCTGCCTCGCCGTCGTCTGGACGACTGGGCTCTCTACGACGATCAGCTGCGCTTCGTGCCGCTCGAGCTGCTGCCCATGCTGCCGGGAGTAGCCGCCGACTCCCTCGTGTTCGGCTCGGGAGTCATGATGGAGGACGATGGTAGCGGGTTCAGCCTCGACGATCCCACTGTCGAATCCGCTGGCACTATTCGTGGTGCCGGTGGTGACGCTGCTGGTGGTTCTTCTTCAGGTGGTTCTTCAGGTGCTTCAGGGAGTGGATCCGGGTCAGGATCTGATCCCGCAGCAGCGGATGGTGGTGATGCTGGTGGCGGTGGTATCCGGGTGTATTTGAGCGCAATCAAGGAGTGGATGATTGAGTTTGGGGCTGGGATGCTTTTTGTGACCATTCGAACTGATGGGGCATGGTACAGGCTTGGCCGCCTATGTCCCCTGGTACCGCCCGGTTCTGCGCACAGCCAGGCTGGCAATCCGAGTGATTGAGATGCTTAGTGGCGAGTCCCGGGCGGCGCGCTTGTCTTTTCTGGACGTGGTGACGAGGCTGGCACAGGAGCGGGTGGTGGAGAAGCAGCAGAAGAGCGGCAAGGCACCGGCGCGCGGGGACTTAGCCAAGTGTTTCGCTGAAATGGAGCGGTTTTTAGTGGTGCATGGGAATATCATCCTGCAGCAGTTTAGGGAGTATCCAGTAGAGACGATCCGCCGGAGCCCCTTTATAAGCACGCTGCGAGAAAAGATGGAGATGCGATCGCATACAGAGCTAAAAGTGAGCAAGAAAAAGGCGGCTATGATTGTCGCAAGCAGAGGTACTAATGGGCGTGGTGGGGGTGACGGTGGGAGTGCGAGAAACGCCAATCCTGCTGCGGCTTTAAGGCCGGATGCTAGTAAGAGGAAGCCCATGCGTGCGACCACGACTCAGCTGGTCCACAGGATCTGGAAGGAGTATTATGAACGGTTCGGATTGAAGCGGGATGAGGTGGGGGCGGGTAAAGGGGGTGAGGGTGAGGAGAATGGGAAGGTGGAGGGTGAGGAAGTGGAGGATGAGGAAGAAGGAGGGGAGTTGAAGGATGGGGATAGTGAGGATGAGGAGGAGGTGGAGGAGGTAGCGGGTGCGAGTCAAACAACGGGGAGCAAAACGAAGGGGATCAAAGTGAAGAGCGCAGAAACAGCTAAGGAGGCCGGTGCGACCGATAAGGGAAAAGCAGCAGCTGCTGGTGGAACTGAGAAGGCAAAGGAGGCTGGTGCTGGTGCAACCAAGGCGAGAGCAGTCAAGGACTCCACTCAGGGCGTGACATGGATCGGCGCAAGCACAGGCCGCACAGAGGAAGACCACCCCGCGTACGCCGCAGCGTCAGTCTGGGGGTTAGAGGTCATGGCAGGGGTTGTGGTGCTGGCGGCTGTGGCAGAGGGCGATGATGACGGGGACGAGGGGCGGTGGAGGGAGGAGGAGGAGAGGTTGGTTCTGGTGGAGTATATGTGGGATGAGGGGGGTGTGGGGGGTGGGGCGGGGAGGAGGAGGAGGGGCGAGGGGATGAAGGCGCATGGGCGGGTGATGGTGAGGGGGAGTGAGACGGTGCTGGGGAATGCGGCAGATGAGTGGGAGCTGTTTGTGTCGGAGCACTGCGTTGACTTCCCCCTCACAGCCATCCGGTAAGACTTGTGGCGCCTCGAAATTGCTGTATGTTGTTCTAACGCTCCCGCAAAGTCCACCTGTTGTGTGTCGTCGTGCTCGTGAGTATTTCGGCCTTTTGCCAAGTGAATTTCAGTTGGCTCAGTTGCAGACGAATTGACATGCTCTTTCTGTGCAATTTTCTTATTCTCCCAGTGAGCTAGCGGCAGTGACGCATCGCAAGCAGCCGTGGGGGGCGGAGCACAGGCTGAGGAACATGGAGGAGCACGAGAGGGAGAGGGAGCGAATGGAAAACCTCTTCAAAGAAACTGGGCAGCGCTCCTTCTTCTATCGCTTCCTCTACAACCCCTCCCGCGGCGGTTTCTTTGACCTGCCCAAGAGCCTGGGCAGCGGAACGGGCAGGTGTTGCTCATGTGACGAGGACGTGGAGAGGAACAGGATGATGGAAGTGCGGAGGCTTGGGGATGGGAAGGTAGGGAAGGAGGAGAAGGTGGAGGAGGAGGGATTTGCTTACTTAGGGAAAGAGTTCCGGGTGCAGGACTTTGTGTTCTTGCATCCGGCAGCAGTGGGGGAGGAGAGCGAGGGGAAGAAGTTCAAGATAGCGAAAGGAGGGCGGAACATTGGGCTGCGGGCGTGGCCTATTGGGCAGATTGAAAAGTTTGTTGCCCGGACTGGTGGGGCGAAGGAGGTGCCTGAAAAGATGGTGGTGAGGAGGTTCTTCCGCCCTGAAGATGTGCCGAATGAGGGTGATGAGATCGCGTATACGGCACACATCCGAGAGGTGAGTGCTTCCCGCTTCCACATCTTCTAAATAATGGTGATGTATACCTTTTCCCCTTTCCTTTTGTTTTCTAATTCCGTCTCTTTTGTTTTTTCAATCACTGCACTCCACAACAGGTGTACTACAGTGAAACGTGACAGACGTGATCGGTAAGTGCCGTGTGCAGCGGGGCAAACCCACAGCGGCAGTGGCAGCAGCGGCGGCAGGGACAGAGGCGGACCACTCGGGCTTTAACATCGGGGGTTGCCTGGAGGAGGAGCTGATGGGCGGCGACTTTGTCTTCTTCTGCGACCGCCTTCTCAAAGATGGCTCTGTCCGGATGGTACAGTGCAGCCTCCCCTCTGTTTCCAGCTGTTTCCTCTATTCTCACAGACCAAGAGTGTGTCATCCTCTGCTATTGTAATGTTCCTTAATCTAGCCGTGCCCCTGTAGCTCCGCTGCCTGTGCTTGAGGGCCACACGCGCCATCGGAAGTACGAGATGGTCTCTCTCTATTTCTGCATGTTTCTCTCTGCCTCACTCTTCTTCTCCTTAATCATTTCCCTTTTTAACACTACCGCAGTTTCGCTTCGGTCATTCTTCAGCAGCAGCAGCAGCCGCACCCAACAAGGAAAAAAAAAAAAAAAAAAAAACATGTCTTACTCTGCTGAATCTCTCCCTTGCATCATTTCCCACTTGCCTTTTTAACACTCCTGCAGTTGCCCCCTGGGATTCGTTTCGGCCAAGCAGCAGCAGCAGCGTCACCTATCAAGGAGAAAGGCAAGGGCAAGGGCAAGAGCGTTGCTGCCGACGATGCCGACGCGGAAGCTGCAGCAATAGAGGCAGCAGCAGCAGCTAGGGCCCGAGCAAAGGGCAAGGGGAAAGCAGCTGCAGAGGAGCCAGAAGAACCCACCAGCAAGGCTGCAGCTGGGGCGAAGCAGCAACAGGGAAAGCAGAAGGAGCTGGAGAATCAGGAGAATGCAGAGAAGCAGGAGGAGGGGCAGCAACGGGTGGGTAAATGCAGCAAGGGCGGTGCTGGTGTGCTGCGGACGTTGGATATATTCGCGGGGTGTGGAGGGCTGTCAGAGGGGCTGCAGCGGTCGGGGGCGTGTGAGACGCGGTGGGCCATCGAGTACGAGCACCCGGCTGCTGACGCGTTTGAGAAGAACCACCCCGACGCCGCTGTCATCTGCGCCAACTGCAACGTCGTTCTCAGGTGAGCTGGTTTTCTTGGTGCTTAGGTGAGTGTTTTTGTAGTGTCACTTGGCCGGTTCAGTGCTGGTGGGCGGGTGTACCCCGAGGCTGCTGTCATCTGCGCCAACTGCAACGTGGTTCTCAGGTGAGCTGGGTTACTTGGTGCTTCGGTAAGCGTGAGCGTGGGCAGCCGATGGTTGGCCGGCCCAGTGCTGGTGGGGGGTGGTGCTGCATGGACGGGATGTGATTGCGTGGGGGTGTGGGGTGGAGGGGTTGGTGGAGTTCATGACCTGCATGTATGCACCTGTATTGGAGGGGCTGCAGCAATCGGGGGCGTGTGAGACACGGTGGGCCATCGAGTACGAGCACCCGGCGGCCGAGGCGTTTCAGAAGAACCACCCCGAGGCCGCCGTTATCTGCGCCAACTGCAACGTGGTGCTTAGGTGAGCGGTGCTTTGGTAAGTTAGGTGAGCATGGGGAACAGAAGAACCACCCCGGTGCTGCTGTCATCTGCGCCAACTGCAATGTGATGCTCAGGTGAGTGTGAGTGTAGTGTCACTTGGCTGGTTCAGTGCTGATGGTGGGCGGGTGTGCTGCTGAGGCGTTTCAGAAGAACCACACCGATGCAGCTGTCATCTGCGCCAACAGCAACGTCGTGCTGAGGTGAGCGGTGCTTGAGTAAGCGGGTGGGGTTGTGTGGTAGTTTGTGGTGGTAAGGTGTTCTGTGGTGTGGTGCTTAGGTAAGCAGGTGGGGTTTTGTGGTAGTTAATGGTGGTAAGATGTTATGTGGTGCGGTGCTTAGGTAAGAGGGCAGGGTTACATGTTGTCTAAGTGAAGGGGGATATGGAGATGCCATAGAGGGACAGTAGCAGCAACACCTTGCCCCCGTTTCCACTCCTTTCTCTTTCCCCTCCTTATTCTTTCCCCTTACATATACAATATATATACATATATCCCCCTTTTCCCCCTCTCCCATGTACTCGCCTCCCCAGGTCTATGATGGAGCAGGCAGGGCAGCTCGGCAACTGTGTGTCAACGCCAGAGGCGGATGAAGGAGCAGCAAAGATGGCCGAGGCGGAGAAGGGCAAGCCTCCCTTCCACACACCCCGCTTCCCACCATTCCCCCTTCCCCCATCCTTCCCCTTCAGGAGCATGATGGAGCAAGCAGGGCAGTTGGGCGACTGTGTGTCAATGCCAGCGGCGGACGAGATAGAGAGGGATAATCCCCCCTTCCACACCGCTCCCCCCTCATACCTTCGTTCCCCCTTGTCCCCTCCTTCCCCTTCAGGAGCATGATGGAGCAGGCGGGGCAGGTGGGCGACTGTGTGTCAACGCCAGAGGCGGATGAAGCAGCAGCAAAGATGGCCGAGGCAGAGAGGGGCAAGCTGCCTCTGCCCGGCCAAGTGGACTTCGTGAATGGGGGCCCGCCCTGCCAGGTACGCACTTATTCATGTGAGCACACTGCCAAGTTACACGTGTGGTGAGTGGGAGGAGGAGGAGGATGGTCAAGGCAGAGGGGCTGCTGTGCCGCTGCGTGGCCATGTGGGCTTCGCCAACGAAGGCCACATGTGGGCTTCATGTGGCCCGCCTTGCCAGATAGATGGGCTTTGGTGGCATCTTTTCAGGTGCGCTGACTGGTAGGAGGATTTTTTAGTCGACTAAAAAATTGGCCCGCCCTGCCAGATAGATGGGCTTTGGTGGCACCTTTTCAAGTGCGCTGACTGGTAGGAGGGTTGGCCGAGGCAAAGAGGGGCAAGCTGCCCCTGCCTGGCCAAGTTGACTTCGTGAATTGGGGCCCGCCCTGCCAGGTACGCGGGATAAACCGCTCAACCAGAACCTTTTGACCTCCTTTCCTTCCTTGCTCCATTGAAGTGGTTGAAGGAGCAGTGGTTGAATAGAGCAGTGGTTGAATGGTGCAGTGGTTGAATGGTGCAGTGGTTGAATGGAGCAGTGGTTGAATGGAGCAGTGGTTGAATGGAGCAGTGGTTGAATGGAGCAGTGGTTGAATGGAGCAGTGGTTGAATGGTGCAGTGGTTGAATGGTGCAGTGGTTGAATGGAGCAGTGGTTGAATGGTGCAGTGGTTGAATGGTGCAGTGGTTGAATGGTGCAGTGGTTGAATGGTGCAGTGGTTGAATGGTGCAGTGGTTGAATGGAGCAGTGGTTGAATGGGGCAGTGGTTGAATGGTGCAGTGGTTGAATGGAGCAGTGGTTGAATGGAGCAGTGGTTGAATGGTGCAGTGGTTGAATGGAGCAGTGGTTGAATGGAGCAGTGGTTGAATGGTGCAGTGGTTGAATGGTGCAGTGGTTGAATGGAGCAGTGGTTGAATGGTGCAGTGGTTGAATGGTGCAGTGGTTGAATGGTGCAGTGGTTGAATGGTGCAGTGGTTGAATGGTGCAGTGGTTGAATGGAGCAGTGGTTGAATGGAGCAGTGGTTGAATGGTGCAGTGGTTGAATGGAGCAGTGGTTGAATGGAGCAGTGGTTGAATGGTGCAGTGGTTGAATGGAGCAGTGGTTGAATGGTGCAGTGGTTGAATGGAGCAGTGGTTGAATGGAGCAGTGGTTGAATGGTGCAGTGGTTGAATGGAGCAGTGGTTGAATGGAGCAGTGGTTGAATGGTGCAGTGGTTGAATGGTGCAGTGGTTGAATGGAGCAGTGGTTGAATGGAGCAGTGGTTGAATGGTGCAGTGGTTGAATGGTGCAGTGGTTGAATGGTGCAGTGGTTGAATGGTGCAGTGGTTGAATGGTGCAGTGGTTGAATGGTGCAGTGGTTGAATGGTGCAGTGGTTGAATGGAGCAGTGGTTGAATGGTGCAGTGGTTGAATGGAGCAGTGGTTGAATGGAGCAGTGGTTGAATGGTGCAGTGGTTGAATGGTGCAGTGGTTGAATGGTGCAGTGGTTGAATGGTGCAGTGGTTGAATGGTGCAGTGGTTGAATGGAGCAGTGGTTGAATGGTGCAGTGGTTGAATGGTGCAGTGGTTGAATGGAGCAGTGGTTGAATGGAGCAGTGGTTGAATGGAGCAGTGGTTGAATGGTGCAGTGGTTGAATGGAGCAGTGGTTGAATGGTGCAGTGGTTGAATGGAGCAGTGGTTGAATGGAGCAGTGGTTGAATGGTGCAGTGGTTGAATGGTGCAGTGGTTGAATGGTGCAGTGGTTGAATGGTGCAGTGGTTGAATGGAGCAGTGGTTGAATGGTGCAGTGGTTGAATGGTGCAGTGGTTGAATGGAGCAGTGGTTGAATGGAGCAGTGGTTGAATGGTGCAGTGGTTGAATGGTGCAGTGGTTGAATGGTGCAGTGGTTGAATGGTGCAGTGGTTGAATGGTGCAGTGGTTGAATGGTGCAGTGGTTGAATGGTGCAGTGGTTGAATGGAGCAGTGGTTGAATGGTGCAGTGGTTGAATGGAGCAGTGGTTGAATGGAGCAGTGGTTGAATGGTGCAGTGGTTGAATGGTGCAGTGGTTGAATGGTGCAGTGGTTGAATGGTGCAGTGGTTGAATGGTGCAGTGGTTGAATGGTGCAATGGTTGAATGGTGCAGTGGTTGAATGGAGCAGTGGTTGAATGGTGCAGTGGTTGAATGGAGCAGTGGTTGAATGGAGCAGTGGTTGAATGGAGCAGTGGTTGAATGGTGCAGTGGTTGAATGGAGCAGTGGTTGAATGGTGCAGTGGTTGAATGGAGCAGTGGTTGAATGGAGCAGTGGTTGAATGGTGCAGTGGTTGAATGGTGCAGTGGTTGAATGGTGCAGTGGTTGAATGGTGCAGTGGTTGAATGGAGCAGTGGTTGAATGGGGCAGTGGTTGAATGGTGCAGTGGTTGAATGGAGCAGTGGTTGAATGGAGCAGTGGTTGAATGGTGCAGTGGTTGAATGGAGCAGTGGTTGAATGGAGCAGTGGTTGAATGGTGCAGTGGTTGAATGGTGCAGTGGTTGAATGGAGCAGTGGTTGAATGGTGCAGTGGTTGAATGGTGCAGTGGTTGAATGGTGCAGTGGTTGAATGGTGCAGTGGTTGAATGGAGCAGTGGTTGAATGGAGCAGTGGTTGAATGGTGCAGTGGTTGAATGGAGCAGTGGTTGAATGGAGCAGTGGTTGAATGGTGCAGTGGTTGAATGGAGCAGTGGTTGAATGGTGCAGTGGTTGAATGGAGCAGTGGTTGAATGGAGCAGTGGTTGAATGGTGCAGTGGTTGAATGGAGCAGTGGTTGAATGGAGCAGTGGTTGAATGGTGCAGTGGTTGAATGGTGCAGTGGTTGAATGGAGCAGTGGTTGAATGGAGCAGTGGCTGAATGGTGCAGTGGTTGAATGGTGCAGTGGTTGAATGGTGCAGTGGTTGAATGGTGCAGTGGTTGAATGGTGCAGTGGTTGAATGGTGCAGTGGTTGAATGGAGCAGTGGTTGAATGGTGCAGTGGTTGAATGGAGCAGTGGTTGAATGGAGCAGTGGTTGAATGGTGCAGTGGTTGAATGGTGCAGTGGTTGAATGGTGCAGTGGTTGAATGGTGCAGTGGTTGAATGGTGCAGTGGTTGAATGGTGCAGTGGTTGAATGGTGCAGTGGTTGAATGGTGCAGTGGTTGAATGGTGCAGTGGTTGAATGGTGCAGTGGTTGAATGGTGCAGTGGTTGAATGGTGCAGTGGTTGAATGGTGCAGTGGTTGAATGGAGCAGTGGTTGAATGGTGCAGTGGTTGAATGGAGCAGTGGTTGAATGGAGCAGTGGTTGAATGGAGCAGTGGTTGAATGGAGCAGTGGTTGAATGGTGCAGTGGTTGAATGGAGCAGTGGTTGAATGGAGCAGTGGTTGAATGGTGCAGTGGTTGAATGGTGCAGTGGTTGAATGGTGCAGTGGTTGAATGGAGCAGTGGTTGAATGGTGCAGTGGTTGAATGGACCAGTGGTTGAATGGTGCAGTGGTTGAATGGTGCAGTGGTTGAATGGAGCAGTGGTTGAATGGTGCAGTGGTTGAATGGTGCAGTGGTTGAATGGTGCAGTGGTTGAATGGTGCAGTGGTTTGAATGGTGCAGTGGTTGAATGGTGCAGTGGTTGAATGGTGCAGTGGTTGAATGGTGCAGTGGTTGAATGGTGCAGTGGTTGAATGGTGCAGTGGTTGAATGGTGCAGTGGTTGAATGGAGCAGTGGTTGAATGGTGCAGTGGTTGAATGGAGCAGTGGTTGAATGGAGCAGTGGTTGAATGGTGCAGTGGTTGAATGGTGCAGTGGTTTAATGGTGCAGTGGTTGAATGGAGCAGTGGTTGAATGGTGCAGTGGTTGAATGGAGCAGTGGTTGAATGGAGCAGTGGTTGAATGGAGCAGTGGTCGAATGGTGCAGTGGTCGAATGGAGCAGTGGTGGAATGGTGCAGTGGTTGAATGGAGCAGTGGTTGAATGGTGCAGTGGTTGAATGGAGCAGTGGTTGAATGGTGCAGTGGTTGAATGGTGCAGTGGTTGAATGGAGCAGTGGTTGAATGGAGCAGTGGTTGAATGGTGCAGTGGTTGAATGGTGCAGTGGTTGAATGGTGCAGTGGTTGAATGGTGCAGTGGTTGAATGGTGCAGTGGTTGAATGGTGCAGTGGTTGAATGGTGCAGCGGTTGAATGGTGCAGCGGTTGAATGGAGCAGCGGTTGAATGGAGCAGCGGTTGAATGGTGCAGTGGTTGAATGGTGCAGCGGTTGAATGGTGCAGCGGTTGAATGGTGCAGCGGTTGAATGGTGCAGCGGTTGAATGGAGCAGCGGTTGAATGGTGCAGCGGTTGAATGGTGCAGCGGTTGAATGGAGCAGCGGTTGAATGGTGCAGCGGTTGAATGGTGCAGCGGTTGAATGGTGCAGCGGTTGAATGGTGCAGCGGTTGAATGGTGCAGCGGTTGAATGGTGCAGCGGTTGAATGGTGCAGCGGTTGAATGGTGCAGCGGTTGAATGGTGCAGCGGTTGAATGGTGCAGCGGTTGAATGGTGCAGCGGTTGAATGGTGCAGCGGTTGAATGGTGCAGCGGTTGAATGGTGCAGCGGTTGAATGGTGCAGCGGTTGAATGGTGCAGCGGTTGAATGGTGCAGCGGTTGAATGGTGCAGCGGTTGAATGGTGCAGCGGTTGAATGGTGCAGCGGTTGAATGGTGCAGCGGTTGAATGGTGCAGCGGTTGAATGGTGCAGCGGTTGAATGGTGCAGCGGTTGAATGGTGCAGCGGTTGAATGGTGCAGCGGTTGAATGCTGCAGCGGTTGAATGGTGCAGCGGTTGAATGCTGCAGCGGTTGAATGCTGCAGCGGTTGAATGCTGCAGCGGTTGAATGCTGCAGCGGTTGAATGCTGCAGCGGTTGAATGCTGCAGCGGTTGAATGCTGCAGCGGTTGAATTGAATGCTGCAGCGTTGAATGGCTGCAGCGGTTGAATGGTGCAGCGGTTGAATGGTGCAGCGGTTGAATGGTGCAGCGGTTGAATGGTGCAGCGGTTGAATGGTGCAGCGGTTGAATGGTGCAGCGGTTGAATGGTGCAGCGGTTGAATGGTGCAGCGGTTGAATGGTGCAGCGGTTGAATGGTGCAGCGGTTGAATGGTGCAGCGGTTGAATGGTGCAGCGGTTGAATGGTGCAGCGGTTGAATGGTGCAGCGGTTGAATGGTGCAGCGGTTTGAATGGTGCAGCGGTTGAATGGTGCAGCGGTTGAATGGTGCAGCGGTTGAATGGTGCAGCGGTTGAATGGTGCAGCGGTTGAATGGTGCAGCGGTTGAATGGTGATGGTGCAGCGGTTGAATGGTGCAGCGGTTGAATGGTGCAGCGGTTGAATGGTGCAGCGGTTGAATGGTGCAGCGGTTGAATGGTGCAGCGGTTGAATGGTGCAGCGGTTGAATGGTGCAGCGGTTGAATGGTGCAGCGGTTGAATGGTGCAGCGGTTGAATGGTGCAGCGGTTGAATGGTGCAGCGGTTGAATGGTGCAGCGGTTGAATGGTGCAGCGGTTGAATGGTGCAGCGGTTGAATGGTGCAGCGGTTGAATGGTGCAGCGGTTGAATGGTGCAGCGGTTGAATGGTGCAGCGGTTGAATGGTGCAGCGGTTGAATGGTGCAGCGGTTGAATGGTGCAGCGGTTGAATGGTGCAGCGGTTGAATGGTGCAGCGGTTGAATGGTGCAGCGGTTGAATGGTGCAGCGGTTGAATGGTGCAGCGGTTGAATGGTGCAGCGGTTGAATGGTGCAGCGGTTGAATGGTGCAGCGGTTGAATGGTGCAGCGGTTGAATGGTGCAGCGGTTGAATGGTGCAGCGGTTGAATGGTGCAGCGGTTGAATGGTGCAGCGGTTGAATGGTGCAGCGGTTGAATGGTGCAGCGGTTGAATGGTGCAGCGGTTGAATGGTGCAGCGGTTGAATGGTGCAGCGGTTGAATGGTGCAGCGGTTGAATGGTGCAGCGGTTGAATGGTGCAGCGGTTGAATGGTGCAGCGGTTGAATGGTGCAGCGGTTGAATGGTGCAGCGGTTGAATGGTGCAGCGGTTGAATGGTGCAGCGGTTGAATGGTGCAGTGGTTGAATGGTGCAGTGGATGCTGGACTACTCCGGAATGAACCGCTTCAACCAGAACGCATGGAGCAAGGTGCAGTGCGAGATGACTCCTGTCTCCTCATTGCTCTCTCTGTTCAACTCCGTTCCCTTAATCCTGCGGTTACTTCCCCCCCCTCTCAGGGCTACTCCGGAATGAACCGCTTCAACCAGAACGCATGGAGCAAGGTGCAGTGCGAGATGACTCCTGTCTCCTCATTGCTCTCTCTGTTCAACTCCGTTCCCTTAATCCTGCGGTTACTTCCCCCCCCTCTCAGGGCTACTGCGGAATGAACCGCTTCAACCAGAACGCATGGAGCAAGGTGCAGTGCGAGATGACTCCTGTCTCCTCATTGCTCTCTCTGTTCAACTCCGTTCCCTTAATCCTGCGGTTACTTCCCCCCCCTCTCAGGGCTACTCCGGAATGAACCGCTTCAACCAGAACGCATGGAGCAAGGTGCAGTGCGAGATGACTCCTGTCTCCTCATTGCTCTCTCTGTTCAACTCCGTTCCCTTAATCCTGCGGTTACTTCCCCCCCCTCTCAGGGCTACTCCGGAATGAACCGCTTCAACCAGAACGCATGGAGCAAGGTGCAGTGCGAGATGACTCCTGTCTCCTCATTGCTCTCTCTGTTCAACTCCGTTCCCTTAATCCTGCGGTTACTTCCCCCCCCTCTCAGGGCTACTCCGGAATGAACCGCTTCAACCAGAACGCATGGAGCAAGGTGCAGTGCGAGATGACTCCTGTCTCCTCATTGCTCTCTCTGTTCAACTCCGTTCCCTTAATCCTGCGGTTACTTCCCCCCCCTCTCAGGGCTACTCCGGAATGAAACGCTTCAACCAGAACGCATGGAGCAAGGTGCAGTGCGAGATGACTCCTGTCTCCTCATTGCTCTCTCTGTTCAACTCCGTTCCCTTAATCCTGCGGTTACTTCCCCCCCCTCTCAGGGCTACTCCGGAATGAAACGCTTCAACCAGAACGCATGGAGCAAGGTGCAGTGCGAGATGACTCCTGTCTCCTCATTGCTCTCTCTCTGTTCATCTCCGTTCCCTTAATCCTGCGGTTACTTCCCCCCCCTCTCAGGGCTACTCCGGAATGAACCGCTTCAACCAGAACGCATGGAGCAAGGTGCAGTGCAAGATGACTCCTGTCTCCTCATTGCTCTCTCTGTTCAACTCCGTTCCCTTAATCCTGCGGTTACTTCCCCCCCCTCTCAGGGCTACTCCGGAATGAACCGCTTCAACCAGAACGCATGGAGCAAGGTGCAGTGCGAGATGACTCCTGTCTCCTCATTGCTCTCTCTGTTCAACTCCGTTCCCTTAATCCTGCGGTTACTTCCCCCCCCTCTCAGGGCTACTCCGGAATGAAACGCTTCAACCAGAACGCATGGAGCAAGGTGCAGTGCGAGATGACTCCTGTCTCCTCATTGCTCTCTCTGTTCAACTCCGTTCCCTTAATCCTGCGGTTACTTCCCCCCCCTCTCAGGGCTACTCCGGAATGAAACGCTTCAACCAGAACGCATGGAGCAAGGTGCAGTGCGAGATGACTCCTGTCTCCTCATTGCTCTCTCTGTTCAACTCCGTTCCCTTAATCCTGCGGTTACTTCCCCCCCCTCTCAGGGCTACTCCGGAATGAAACGCTTCAACCAGAACGCATGGAGCAAGGTGCAGTGCGAGATGACTCCTGTCTCCTCATTGCTCTCTCTCTGTTCATCTCCGTTCCCTTAATCCTGCGGTTACTTCCCCCCCCTCTCAGGGCTACTCCGGAATGAACCGCTTCAACCAGAACGCATGGAGCAAGGTGCAGTGCAAGATGACTCCTGTCTCCTCATTGCTCTCTCTGTTCAACTCCGTTCCCTTAATCCTGCGGTTACTTCCCCCCCCTCTCAGGGCTACTCCGGAATGAACCGCTTCAACCAGAACGCATGGAGCAAGGTGCAGTGCGAGATGACTCCTGTCTCCTCATTGCTCTCTCTGTTCAACTCCGTTCCCTTAATCCTGCGGTTACTTCCCCCCCCTCTCAGGGCTACTCCGGAATGAAACGCTTCAACCAGAACGCATGGAGCAAGGTGCAGTGCGAGATGACTCCTGTCTCCTCATTGCTCTCTCTGTTCAACTCCGTTCCCTTAATCCTGCGGTTACTTCCCCCCCCTCTCAGGGCTACTCCGGAATGAAACGCTTCAACCAGAACGCATGGAGCAAGGTGCAGTGCGAGATGACTCCTGTCTCCTCATTGCTCTCTCTGTTCAACTCCGTTCCCTTAATCCTGCGGTTACTTCCCCCCCCTCTCAGGGCTACTCCGGAATGAACCGCTTCAACCAGAACGCATGGAGCAAGGTGCAGTGCGAGATGACTCCTGTCTCCTCATTGCTCTCTCTGTTCAACTCCGTTCCCTTAATCCTGCGGTTACTTCCCCCCCCTCTTAGGGCTACTCCGGAATGAACCGCTTCAACCAGAACGCATGGAGCAAGGTGCAGTGCGAGATGACTCCTGTCTCCTCATTGCTCTCTCTGTTCAACTCCGTTCCCTTAATCCTGCGGTTACTTCCCCCCCCTCTCAGGGCTACTCCGGAATGAACCGCTTCAACCAGAACGCATGGAGCAAGGTGCAGTGCGAGATGACTCCTGTCTCCTCATTGCTCTCTCTGTTCAACTCCGTTCCCTTAATCCTGCGGTTACTTCCCCCCCCTCTCAGGGCTACTCCGGAATGAACCGCTTCAACCAGAACGCATGGAGCAAGGTGCAGTGCGAGATGACTCCTGTCTCCTCATTGCTCTCTCTGTTCAACTCCGTTCCCTTAATCCTGCGGTTACTTCCCCCCCCTCTCAGGGCTACTCCGGAATGAACCGCTTCAACCAGAACGCATGGAGCAAGGTGCAGTGCGAGATGACTCCTGTCTCCTCATTGCTCTCTCTGTTCAACTCCGTTCCCTTAATCCTGCGGTTACTTCCCCCCCCTCTCAGGGCTACTCCGAAATGAACCGCTTCAACCAGAACGCATGGAGCAAGGTGCGGTGCGAGATGACTCCTGTCTCACCCCCCATCCCTTTGACTGATTTCGTTTCCTCTACCCTTTTCGCCTCATCCACTCCACTCTCAGGGTTTCTCCGGAATGAACCGCTTCAACCAGAACCCGTGGAGCAAGGTGCAGTGCGAGATGATCCTCGCATTCCTCTCCTTTGCGGATTTCCTCCGCCCCAACTACTTCCTCCTCGAGAACGTGCGCAACTTTGTCTCCTTCAATGGGGCTCGGACTTTCCGCCTGGCTCTGAGGACACTGCTCGCCATGGGCTTCCAGGTAGGCAGTATGTGCAATGCAAGCACTTGTAGTGTTCCCTTCTCCTCTGCACGCACTTCCTCCTTCGCGGATTTCCTCCGCCCCAACTACTTCCTCCTCGAGAACGTGCGCAACTTCGTCTCCTTCAATGGGGCTCGCACCTTCCGCCTCGCCCTTCGGACGCTACTCGCCATGGGCTATCAGGTAGGCGCAAGCACTTGTAATGTTCCCTACTCATCCGCACACACTGCCTTCCCTTTGCGGGTTTTCTCTGCCCCAACTACTTCCTGTTTGAGAACGTGCGCAACTTTGTCTCCTTCAACGGCGCCCGGACCTTCCGCCTGGCCCTTCAGACCCTCCTTGTCATGGGCTATCAGGTACGCCATTCAGCACACCCTTCAGGTGCTAACATCACAACACCATCACACCACCATCACACCACCATCACACTACCATCACACCACCATCACACCACCATCACACTACCATCACACCACCATCACACCACCATCACACCACCATCACACCACCATCACACCACCATCACACCACCATCACACCACCATCATCCGGGCAGCAGCACCCGAACCACATCCTCCCGTCGTGTTATTGAGAATCTCAAAATCTCCCAACCCTCTCTCCAGGTCCGCTTCGGTGTCTTACAAGCCGGCAACTTTGGCATATCTCAATCCCGCACGAGAGCCTTCATCTGGGCAACAGCGCCAGGCCACGTGCTCCCACCCATAGTGTTGTTAAGAGCCTCAAATTCCCCTAACCCCCCCTCCCCTCTTCCCTCTTCTCCAGGTCCGCTTCGGTGTCTTACAAGCGGGCAACTTCGGCATATCTCAGTCGCGCACGAGAGCCTTCATCTGGGCGGCAGCGCCAGGCCACGTGCTCCCCGAGTGGCCCCAGCCTCTGCACGTCTTCGCCTCCTCCCAGCTCTCCGTTCCCCTCGCCACCTCCGCTGCTGCTGGTGGCGCTGCTGGTGGAGCTGCTGGTGGTGCTCCTGGTCAGTTCAGCACGGCGAGCTCGCTGGCCAATGAGGCGTGTCCACGTGGCCCAGCAGTGGGGGCGCCGCTGCGGTCGATTACGGTGCGGGACGCGATGGGGGACCTGCCAACTATTGAGAATGGCGCGGAGGAGGAGGAGATGGAGGTGAGTCGTGGGGTGCTGTGGTCAGTGGGTCTTAAGAGTTGTGTGAAACAATGCTGTGTGTGTGTGTGCTGGATGCGATGTGTGTGATGGATGCGATGGGAGATCCGCCTTTTGAGACGTCTCAAAAGTCTTGAGAGTTGTGTCGAAACAACTCTGTGCGGGCTGCTATCGGGGACTCCCGCCCCCGAGATTAAAGAAGTGTTTTGAGACGTCTCAAAACACTTCTTCAATCACGTGGTGAGTCGTGCCGTGCTGGTCAATGGGTCTTGAGAGTTGTGTCGAAACAAACTCTGTGCGGGCTGCTGTGGGGGACTCCTCAAAGGAGCCCCCGCCCCCGCCCGCCCCTCCCACTCATCCATTCCCTTCCACAATGCTCCCCGGAGCCCTCCATTTGAATCCAGCGGTGCATTTGAGCACAGCAGCAAGCCAGACTCCTAGACCACACGTGCAAGCACACATGCATGAGCTAGAGCACACATGCATGAGCTAGAGCACACCCACTGACAATACTCTCTCCCTTCCCTCTCCCTCTCCCCCCATCCCTTCCCTTCCACTGTACTCCTCGGAGCATAGTACCAGTGGTGCATCCCAGCACAGCAAGCCAGGCTCCAGCCAGCTCATGCACGTGCAAGCGCACTGCATGACCTCAACCTCAAACGCTGCCAACTCTCTGCCTTCCCTTCCTTTTCCCCCAATCCCCTCCCTCTCCCCCCTCCCCATTCCCTCCCTCCACAATATTCATCAAAGTCCTCCTGGTGCATTCGCGCGCAGCAAGCGAAGCTGCTGGACCACACGTGCAAGCGAAGCTGCTGGACCACACGTGTGAGCGCATGAACGAGCTCAACCTTAAGCCCTGCCAACACTCTCCCTTCCCTCCTCCCCTCCCCTCCCCCACTCCTTCCCTCACACAGTACTCCTCGGAGCCCTCATCGTGGTTGCCGATCCCAGCAAGCCAGGCTCCTGGACCACACGTGGAAGCGCATGAATGAACTCAACTTGAAGCGCTGCCAGCACATCCCCAAACGCCCAGGGGTGGACTGGCGGGATCTGCCGGATATCAAGGTGAGAAGTGGGTGGCTGAAATAGGGTTACCAGCAGCGTCATCCGTTCATGCATGTAGCATCAGTGCCCCTCCCTTCCACAGTAGCCCGTGCTGTTTGGCCGGCTCCTTTTGCACCCTCGTCACACCTTACCCTCCTTTCCCTCGCTCATGTACACCAGGTGCGGCTGTCCAATGGCCGTGAGGCAGACCTGGTGCCCTGGTGCCTGCCCAACACCATGGAACGCCACAACAACTGGAAGGGGCTGTTTGGGCCAACTTTACAGCACTGCAGTCTCGCGTCGTACCTTGAACTCGCCTTCCCTCTTCTTTCTTCTTCCACACCGCAGGTGAGGCTGTCAGATGGGCGTGAAGCAGACCTGGTACCCTGGTGCCTGCCCAACACCATGGAGCGGCACAACAACTGGAAGGGGCTGTTTGGGCGGCTGGACTGGGCGGGCAACTTCCCCACGTCCGTGACTGATCCCCAGCCCATGGGGAAAGTGGGCATGTGCTTTCACCCCGAGCAGGACCGTATCACTGTCCTACCTGCGCGAATGCGCGCGGTCGCAGGTAGGACAGTGATGAGGGGTAATGAGGGGTTTGGTGTTCTGGGAGCACTCAAAACTCAGGATTGTAGGTAAGGAGGGGCTTGGTGTGGGTGTGTGAGAGCCTGAGAGAGAACTTCCCCACGTCTGTGACAGACCCCCAGCCGGTTCGTGGAGAGCTCTATCTTCGTCGTGACAGACCCCACCCTCGTCTGCAGGGTGAAGATATGTTTTTTTACAATCAGCTCTTTCTCGCTTTGATTGGCTTGTTTCTGCTCCTGCCCCGTGTTCTCTCAATACCCCCCCAATCTCGTTTTACCTTGCACTCGCAATGCCTCCGACCCCTTAGCAGGCAGCATCCAGGCCAGGCACTGCCAGATAGTCCAACACTGTTTCCCCTACCCCTCCTTCCTGTGTTGATTTTTCAGGGTTTCCCCGACTGGTACCGCTTCGCTGGCAACATCCAGGCCAAGCATCGTCAGATCGGCAACGCTGTCCCTCCGCCTCTCGCCCTGGCTCTGGGCTTGCAGCTCAGGAAGGCTCTCCTGGAAACGAAAAAGGTGGATGGAGCACAGGTGGAGGGAGAGAGTAAGGATGGGGCAAATCAATGAATTGTGAAGGACACATAATGCCTCTGGCCGTGGCTCTGGGTTTGCAGCTGAGGAAGGCTCTCCTGGAAACGAAAAAGATGGATGGATGGATGGAGCACAGGTGGAGGGAGAGAGTTAAGACGATGAAATTTTATGCACTGTATAAGCAGTATCGTGTTGGATGACTTTTAGTTTGTTATTGTCATGATACCGTATCTTGATTTACAAGGGTAGGCACGCGTTTAAGGATTACCGCTTTCTTTGAAATGTAAATCTTGTTTCGTCCATGGATGCAACCATATTGAGATGTATTTGCCCAAGATAAGCACCTTGCGTGTTACTGGAAGGAAATATTATAAATTGGTTTGTGTGTTACCCTGTAACCCCGCCCTCCACAGACCAATACGTTGTATCGGGCGATAGCAAGTGGTCAATTTCTGCTTACTTTCAGTTGCCTACAACCGATCGAGATTGCATACCATATAAACCGCTCTGTCATGCAAGACAACTTACCAAACAGCATCGCACACAACCTTACCCCCTGTGACTCTTCTTCCACCCCCACCCTTTCTTCCCTCACACTCAGCGTCGCCCCACGTGTTCGCCGCAACCCTTGTGGCTGTTGAAGCCAGTTTTTTTCTTTCGGACCCTCCCTCCTTCCCTCCCTCCCTCCCTCCCTCCCTCCCTCCCTCCCTCCCTCCCTCCCTCCCTCCCTCCCTCCCTCCCTCCCTCCCTCCCTCCCTCCCTCCTTCCCTCCCTCCTTCCTTCCCTCCCTCCCTCCCTCCCACCCTCCTTCCCTCCCTCCCTCCCTCCCTCCCTCCCTCCCTCCCTCCCTCCCTCCCTCCCTCCCTCCCTCCTTCCCTCCATCCTTCCTTCCCTCCCTCCCTCCCTTCCTCCCTCCCTCCTTCTCTCCCTCCTTCCCTCCCTCCCTCCCTCCCTCCCTCCCTCCCTCCCTCCCTCCCCCCTCCCTCCCTCCCTCCCTCCCTCCCTCCCTCCCTCCCTCCCTCCTTCCCTCCCTCCTTCCTTCCCTCCCTCCCTCCCTCCCACCCTCCTTCCCTCCCTCCCTCCCTCCCTCCCTCCCTCCCTCCCTCCCTCCCTCCTTCCCTCCATCCTTCCTTCCCTCCCTCCCTCCCTCCCTCCCTCCCTCCCTCCCTCCCTCCCTCCCTCCCTCCCTCCCTCCCTCCCTCTCCCTCCTTCCCTCCTTCCCTCCCTCCCTCCCTCCCTCCCTCCCTCCCTCCCTCCCTCCCTCCCTCCCTCCCTCCCTCCCTCCCTCTCTCCCTCCCTCCCTCCCTCCCTCCCTCCCTCCCTCCCTCCCTCCCTCCCTCCCTCCCTCCCTCCCTCCCTCCCTCCCTCCCTCCTTCCCTCCCTCTCCCTTCTACCCTCCCTCCCTCCTTCCCTCCCTCCCTCTCCCTCCCTCCCTCCCTCCCTCCCTCCCTCCCTCCTTCCTTCCCTCCCTCCCTCCTCCTCCTCCTCCTCCTCATCACCGCTCTCCACCCCTCTCCGCCACCTCGCCACCACAGCGCACTCCCTCCTCGCCTCCAACCCCCTCAAGCCCAGTTCAGTCATCATCTAAAACAACGCCGACTCCCCCACCGGCCAAGCCCTAATCCAAGAAGCTCACAAGCAAGGCCTCAAAACCATCAACATAATATCCGACACGATCGAACGGCTGAAACGGCTCGGAGGAGACGTGGTGGTAACCGAGTCCTACTGCCGAACCTGGTTTCTCCCCCGAGTGGTTTCGGACCTTCCCAAGCCGGCGCTCGGGGTGGCGGCTACAGATGGGGGCGGCGGCCACGGCTGTAGCGAAGCTTGTAGCGCCGGGGGGGACTTTGGTGGCGTATGGAGGGGTGAAGCTGGGTCGAAATGTGGTGCATGGGGGTGCAGAGCGGCGGCCGGTGGCGTGGGGGGAGTAGTTGAAGGGGAAGAAGCTTTCTCTTAAGAGTGTTTGATGTACTAGTGACTCTTGAATCGACGTGGGGAAAGAGTATTATAAGGATAAGAGGCTCGTGCTCAAGAGTGTTTGATACGGTATGCTTGTGGGGCGAGTTCAGATTGGATTGGATTCAATTCGGCCATGGTTCTGAAGCTGGAGCTGAAGGACCATGCTTGACAGTACTATAAGAGTGTTACCGTTTTGTTGTTTCATATTGTTGCTTGTTAATTCGAACATTCCTGTCCAATTACCCTGCAGCCTGCAGGGTGGCGCTGCTATCCTGCCCATCAAGCTTGCAAAACCAAGCATTGGGTGGTAGTCTGGCAGATGGTTAAGTGCCTATTCCATTATAAACAGCACAGTCCCTTCAGATTTCTCAACGATCTACTGTAGCTGCACGGTACCGTGCATCTTCAACAGCCAGTCCAGCTTGCAATACAGGAAAGTGCATGTGATGCCATGACAACCTGGGGACATACTGTCAAATGTTATTATAGGTTCTTAGGCTACAGTGAGTAGCACTCTAGGGAGTACAACACTTTTAGGGTTGCAATTTGTATCCCTTGTTTCCCTAGTTCACACATTCCGTTGCATTCCTACTTTGAGATGGTATCACGAGTAGGTTAGTTCCTCGTTACTTCCTAGCCCGCGCCCTCTCTAGCGCACCTCCGCGCCCTCCGCGCCCTCCGCGCCTTAGGCTCCGTGTCCTCCGCACCCTCTCCGCGCCCTAGCGCCCTCCTCCTCCGCGCGTCAGCGCCCTCCGCGCCCCTAGCCCATGTTTTCGGCCCGCACGCCTTAGCGCCCTCCGTGCCCCTAGCCCGCACCGTCGCGGACCTCCGCGCCTAGCACCCTCCGCGCCCCTAGCCCGCGCCGTCGCGGACGTCCGCGCCTAGCGCCCTCCGCGCCCCTAGCCCGCGCCGTCGCGGACCTCCGCGCCTAGCGCCCTCTGCGCCCCTAGCCCGTCGCCCAGGCCCGCGCCCTAGCCCGTCGCCCAGGCCCGCGCCCTAGCCCGTCGCCCCAGCCCGCGCCCTGGCCCGTCGCCCCAGCCCGCGCCCTGGCCCGTCGCCCCAGCCCGCGCCCTGGCCCGTCGCCCCAGCCCGCGCCCTGGCCCGTCGCCCCAGCCCGCGCCCTGGCCCGTCGCCCCAGCCCGCGCCCTGGCCCGTCGCCCCAGCCCGCGACCTAACCCGTCGCCCCAGCCCGCGCCCTCGGCCGTCGCCCCAGCCCGCGCCCTAGCCCGTCGCCCCAGCCCGCGCCCTGGCCAGTCGCCCCAGCCCCGCAGGCAGCGCGCCGCGCGGGTAGCGCGCCCCGCGGGTAGCGCGCCCCGCAGGCAGCACACCCTGCAGGCAGCGCGCCCCGGAGCGCTTTAGCGACAGAAAATAAATAAAATAATTAAACCCTAAAAAAAAAAAAAAAAAAAAAAAAAAAGGGGGTCTAGGGTGGGGGCCTGCAACTGTCGCCCGCGTTCCTGCTTGCCGGACGACCTGCACAGTTGCCTCCATCCCGCAGCCGTCAGTAGTGCAGCCCCTACTGTCGTACTTTCCACTGCCAGTGGCTCTACTAGCGGCAGCCGACAGCCGCACTTACGGTCTCTAGCTCCGGCCGTTCCTACCTCCAGCCAGCCCTAGCTCGCCGTTTCTAGCTACAGCCAGTTCTTGCTCCGGCCGTTCCTCGCCTAGTTTCCTGGCGCTTCTAGCTCAGTTTGCTCCGTGCTCCAGCCGTTCCTCGCCTAGTTTCACCTGGCGCTCCTAGCTTAGTTCGCTCCGTGCTCCAGCAGTTACTCGCCTAGTTTCACCTGGCGCTCCTAGTTGTTCTCGTTTTTCACTGCAGCCGTCCCTAGCTCCTGTCGCTCCTAGCCTGCCGCTCCTGCACCCCGCTAGCTTTTATCATGGAGTCCACTAGGGTTCTCCAGCAGCAGGGACAGCAGCAGCGGCCGTTTCAGCAGTGGCTTCCGCAGCAGCAGGGGCGCCCTCAGCAGCAGCTCCGCCCTCAGCAGCAGCTCCGCCCTCAGCAGCTGTGGCGCCCTCAGCAGCCGTGGGGGCCTGGTGGTTCGGGTAGCGTTGGCTGCAGCAGCGGCCCAGCCAGCTGGGGGGCTCGTCGCGGTGGCCGCGTCGTCTGTCTCGGCTCTCACTGCCGCTGTCGCTGAGTTTGCTGCCGCCAGTCGCCTTGACTACACCACCCGTGTGGTGCCAGCTCCTCCCTCCCGTCCTCTGTCCGTCGGGGGTGAGTTTTCCCTTGGCTGTGACGTCCTAGAGGACAGAGAGTCTGAGCTGGAGTACTGGGCAGCTGCTTCTCCCTCTGTCTGTGCCATGCTGCTATTCCCTGAGGGAGACCCCGACGCCCTTGACATACCGACTCCTCGTACTTACCACGAGGCAGTGTCAGGGGCGTAGGCCTCACAGTGGAAAGCGGCTATGGCCTCGGATTTAGCGTCTTGGAGATCCACAGGCACCTACGTCGACGCAGTTCCCCCTCCCAGGGCGAACGTAGTCGATGGCATGTGGCTCTTCAAGGTGAAGCGGCCGCCTGGTTCACCACCTGTGTTCAAGGCGCGCTACGTGGCTAGGGGTTTCAGTCAGCGTGAGGGAGTTGACTTCTTCCAGACCTTCGCCCCGACCCCGAAGATGACTACTCTTCGGGTGTTACTGCACGTAGCAGCACAGCGAGACTACGAGCTGCACTCCCTTGACTTCTCTACTGCGTTTCTCCAGGGCCGACTACACAAGGAGATCTGGCTGCGCCGCCCTCCTGGCTTCACTGACACCTTCCCACCTGGGACCCAGTGCCTGAGACGGCCAGTCTACGGTCTCCGCCAGTCGCCCCGTGAGTGGCACGACACTCTTCGCTCCACGCTTCGTGACCTTGGGTTTCGTCCTTCCTCTGCCGACCCGTCGCTGTTTGTTCGCACTGGTTCCACTCCTTTCTTTATACTAGTGTACGTCGACGACTTGGTCTTTGCCACAGCAGACAGGGCAGCTCTGGCTCAGGTGAAGTCCGAACTGCAGAAGAGACACAAATGCACTGACCTAGGTGAACTGCAGCGCTACCTTGGCCAGCAGATCACCAGGGACAGAGCCGCTCGCACCATCACACTGACTCAGTCACACATGGTGCAGCAGGTCCTTCGGCGGTTCGACTTCCAGTTCTCCACCACACAGCCCACACCTCTTGCTGTTGACCACAGACTCACTGGTCCCTTTCCGGACGAGCCCTTTGAGTCCAGTGGTCCCTACGCAGAGCTGGTGGGCTGCCTCATGTACCTGATGACTTGTACTCGGCCGGACCTCGCCTTTCCCCTCAGCATCCTTTCTCGCTTTGTTGCGACTGGGAGACACCGTCCTGTCCACTGGACAGCTGCTGTGAGGGTGGCGAAGTACCTGGCGACTACATCAGGCATGGGGCTTGTGCTTGGAGGGACTCAGCCAGTGGCGTTGACTGGTCACTGTGACTCTTCCTACGCTGACGACGTGGAGACTCAGAGCTCGACTCAGGGTTACTGCTTCAGTCTGGGAGCTGGTGCTGTGTCGTGGAGGTCTACACGGGTCGTCTGTGGCTACTTCCAGTGCAGAGGCAGAGATCTACGCTGGTGCCATGGCGGCACAGGAGCTTCGCTGGTTGACCTTCTTGCTCGCCGACCTTGGTGAGCGGCCTCGCTCTGCACCGACCTTGTACGCTGACAACAAGGCCATGATCCTCCTCTGTCGAGAGCCTCGACTGGAGAGCTGAGTGAAGCATATTGACGTGAGGTACTTCCTTCTGCGAGAGCTGCAGCGACGCGGCCAGGCACGCCTGGACTTTGTGGCCTCAGAGGCCAACACTGCAGACGTCTTCACCAAGGCCCTGGCGCTTGGTGACCACCACAGGTTCTGTGTGCAGTTGGGGCTTGTTGAGGTAGGCCCTCGGTTGCTGTAGACTTGCTGTTTGCTCTGCTTGATGTGCTTTGCTATATATATCCTAGTGAACTCTTGAACTGGCCTTGTGGCCGCTTGCTTGTGCTCGGAATTTGTGTGGTGTCCTTGAGATCCACCCCTGAGCTTGTTTTGCTTCTTGCATTGACTGATCTTGTGACCGTTTGTTCACCCTGCTTGCTTTGATGCCCCTCACTTAGCCTATGGGGGTGTTTCAAATATTATTATAGGTTCTTAGGCTACAGTGAGTAGCAGTCTAGGGAGTACAACACTTATAGGGTTGCTATTTGTATCCCTTGTTTCCCTAGTTCACACATTCAGTTGCATTCCTACTTTGAGACATTCCAAGAGCTAGAGCTACAGAGACTTGCGCTACCTACGCTGCCTGCCTGCCCACACCATACTCCTCTGCTGCAGCATTTCACCATCAGGAGATGTCATCTCAACGACACACACCACTTCCCTCTTCCCTTTCGCCCTGCCACCACCAACACAGCTCTCCAACTTTGCCTGACCTTCAGCACTAGCCTTCGCACAAGTCTGCAACACCCCATTTTCTGTGAAGACTCATGCCTCGGTAAATGCTTGTTATCTGTGAAGCTATTCCACCTCGGCAAAGCCCCATGCACCTGTAAAGCTTCACCGTCTCAGCAAACCACCATAAATCTACAAAGCTTAACGCCTCTGTCAATTGCTTCCTCTCCTCCTCAGGAATCACCAACCAGTTTGGCTACGGCACCGCAAAGTTTTCCAGGTTTTCACGCCTCTGTCAAGCTCTTCCTCTCTTCCTCAGGAATGACCGACCAATTCGGCGATGGCACAGCACGCAGCCAACCAAAATCGTCCACGTGGGCCCACAGCCCTCCATCCACAGCCAGGTCAGCATCTCTAAAATCCGCCTCCAACCCATCATACTCCCAACTATAAGGCGCGAACCTAACACCCGTAGAGTGCTCTATAAGCGGCCTGCTGCGCGTGCGAACATAGAAATCGGCGCGCTCTGTCTGGTGTATCCTTAACTGATGACTCGCAACGGCTACAGTGCTGCCTGACGCGTCCTCCACGTGGCAGGCTC